GGAACTTGAAAGAATACAGTTGCATTGGCTAACTATTCCATTGACAGAAAACATTTACATTTATGTGGAGGCTGTCGTCATTTGTGTTGTGTGGTCTGCACTCGACGAGTATCAGGTTTTCGGAAACAGGTATATGTTGATCGTTCAGTTTGGGCCGAGTACTATCCAGTGACGATCATCGTGAACAATCCCGTGGACGTGCGTGACGTGGATCGCTTGAATGAGGTGAACGCATTCGTGGCCGAATTCGAGCAGCTCCCCACTTGTCGAGGTAATTAGTTTCTTAACGGCGACGGGTAAGGAACTGCTGCTATCCTCGAAATTTCAGGCTCCAACTTCACAATGTTTTGGCTACGGGACTACATCGATTACTATTGGGGAGTTGGAGTGAACGATTTCGACTTCTATTTTGATGCTGACGAGTACCCGGACGAGAAGGAGTTTGGCTTTAAGAAACTTGCTGGATTCCTCGGTAATCCGCTCTACAAGCATCACAAGGCGTTCCTCAATCTCGACTACAACCAAACGTAAGGAAGTTTGCAGGGTGCGGAACGCTTTAAAATGTTTCAAACTCAAAATCGTGGCAGCAGTATTGACCATATGGAACAATTGTGGCAAAGAGGCCCTACAAAATGTTGTTTTACTTGTTGGTTTGTTACCTGCTTGACCTCCTGAACAATTACGATGGTTTGGGAGGTAACCCAAGAATGTGGGCTCGCGCCATGAACCATGAGATTAGGACTTGTTGACCTACTGGATCCTGGCTCACTATTAGTTAGCCTAGCTAGGGTTCCCTAAATTTCTCGACCTACTGCTTCAATCGAAATCTAGGTAGATGACGCAGGATCAGCAGGAAGCTGATGACCTCTTTCCATCACCACGATCGGTTGCCTGCCACGGTTTGAGAATTTCAAACATTTTTACCCGTGATTTTATTCGATTCCCGGAAGAAAATGTAGTTCGGGGGCTGCACTCATATCTAATTGGGATGAATTACGGAAAGGCACTTTTATCTTATCAAACAAAATCATCACATCCTTCACTGATACGGTGACCTCAACCTCCACGCCCACTTGTTGTATTACTCTACCTCATTGCTCTACCCCATAATAAAAAATACATTGAATTATATTCACAAGAATTCAAAAATAGAATTATCGCATTTAAATAGCAAGAGAGAAGTTTTTCCTATGAAATTACAATTCTATTTTGTCACCCCTTTGTTTGGCGGGAAATGGCTGTACCTTACTGATTTTCACTTTCACTAACCATAAAATCTCTTTGCGATCGTCCTGCATAGGTGTGTGAGAGGACGGGCTTCAGGTATCCGATTTGTACGGGAATTCTGGCTGGTATCTTTATCATCTGTTGGCACTAAGAGCTTTGGGGCCTCTGAATTTTTTTTGAGTGGGTGTTCCTTGCGACACGCACTTCAAATAGATATTGCCACTGCAGAGTATATGATTGTGAGTGCTCCCCCCAACGTAGATATTATGAGTTCCCCTCCCCCTTCCCCCGGACAACATTTCACCCGAATTCCCGTTCAGATATCAATATTCCGTTGATCAATTGAATCCTCACCTTTTTTTACAGTGAGCTTTTATGTTTTGTGGATTGATCTTATCCTTGTTTTCAGGGTCTCAGTGCGCAAATTCTCACTGGTAGTTGTCTACGAGAACAACACGTCATGGGACGATCGAATAGATCTTATGCTGAAATGGAGAGCGATCGTTGACAGGTTCCTACTTATTTTTTTCGTAGGAGTTCATTTGCCGCTCTAAATTTGCCTCATTCCCCGGGGCGGCGTGGGTTGAACGGAGTCTTACAGTCTTGGGACTCTCATGACAACTGATAAAGGCCGATGTCAGACTTTGCGAATCGCGCGATTCGCTAGCGTCCGCGGTCGCGTTGCGGTACCAGCCAATTGAGTGATTCACTGGCCGCGACGCGACCGCAGACGCTAGCGAATCGCTCGATTGCAAAGTCCACGAGTTTGAACCTCCTTTCCACACTCCTGTCTGCTCGATGTTACCGTAGCTAGTCGAAGCGCTTTTGAAGGAATGACACTCTCTATAGGTGCATCCTTTGTATGGAAGAGCTTTCGGTGTACATTCTTCTTCAAAGCAATATTTCTAGGTACCCGAGCCTCAATGCAAGTGTGTGGAATGTGAACGCTATGTTTGTTGATCAAATGTTGAGCTTGAAGTCGCTGACATGGCAGGTGAGTATGGTTGTCTTCGTTGATGAACCGCGCTTTTCATGAATGTTACTGAAATAAACCGCCGTGTTTTCAGACATGTTTGTGGACTTTGTTCTGCATGGCGATCGTTTGCGCAATTTTTATCCAAAATCCGATATCGGTTATATGGCCACTACTGCAATCGCATCGATCAGTCTTGGTGTCATGGGGTAGGTGATTTGTTTGTTTTGGCAACCCATGGTTGAATCCTGGTTCTGGGAGATGAGAATGATCAGGGTGAATAACGGTCGAGGAGTCCTCGATCATGGCTCTGTAACAGTGTCGAGAGTGAATGTATGCGCGGAGAGCACAGACGGCTCGCGCATGGCGAGAGTGAAACCCTTGACGAGTCATCGACGATCCTCGACCGATTTCCACCCTGGATATGATCCGGACTGCGCTCACCTATGAGGTTCACAGCTCAGTTCTTTAGGTACCTCTCATTCTGGCATCTTGACCTCGATCCAGTTTCTCTTTGTGCGGTTCTCATCAGCATCGGCATGGCCGTCGACTTCGTTGCTCACACTACATACCATTATCAGGTGGGTAGTTACTTCTGTTTTTTTGTAGCCCCGTCATTGATGGAAGGTTTGTGTTGGAAATGGATTTTATTTCGCCCAGCACTTTCGAAACTAAGGGCAGCCTCAATTTTAAAATGCAGACCGCTACAAAAATGTTATTGATAGAGGTCAATCACTCCAGTCGGTTGCATTTGATCCCAGTTCTTGTCAGTCAGAAGTTATGGACGCTGATGTGAACAAGCGCAAGGGTGACTGCAAAATCATGAATTATAGTGAAAAATATCACTGTTGGCATTCAATAGCGTCAAAATTTGATGATTATCAGATATAATTTGGACACAATAACAACCTGAGACAGGGCATTTCTGGCTCTTCAAATACCCGTTTTTATAAGACTGTGAATTTTTCCTTTGTAGCTTTGGTAGGACATTCCTATGGTGCAAAAAATGCAGTGGGGTACAAGGGCTCATCACTGTTGGATGGTGGGACTCATTCACTGGCTCTAGCAACAAATGGCGTAGGACAGGCAAATTTAGGGGGAGGGGGTGGGAGGGGTAGAATGTTCCGACCCAAACAGTATTGTTCACATTCGAAATGAAGGCTTGACGCACATCTATGACACCAAGCTTTTCTTAAAGGAGGGTTTTATGATGAAAAGGCAGCACAAATAAGGGTAGAGGTAGTAAGTGATGCAAGAATGAAGAAAATGAACCATGAAGAACTGTCCAGAATCCGAGGAATGGGATCCCTTTCCGCACCCGTTTATTTCCCACATTGATGCGACTTTCATCAGTGCTGTCTTTAACGCTGTCGTCCTCTCTCTGCTGAAGGCTAGAGACCTGCGGCGAGTGGTTAGCCAGTCGTGGGCGTGCCGCGTCGATAGCGCTGCGGGATGGCCATGCTAGGTCGCCAAGAGCATGTCCTTCGCTGCGGGTTGCACGTCTGTTTGTACTTCAAGGGGTCCACTTGTTCTCCCACAAATTAAGTTTCTCCTTTCTTGAACTTATCGTGGCCCCTTTAAGGTTCTTTCCATCACCCGAAGAGTAGTACATATCACCTTCGAACACTCACAGCTTGTGTGCCATCAGTTTCCTTCAGCCATTCTATAATTGACTGTTGAACTTTTCCCAATTTTAGCATTACATAAACTTCTACCTTTTCCTTACTTAAAAAAGTGAATAATATAGATTACAACAATAAAGGCTGACAGAGCTGAACAGTTCTGACAGTTAACAATTCTGTTCCAGTTGTCGTACCGTGAGGTGATCAGAAAAGGTCAAGAGATCCGAGTGGAACTTGACACACCGTACAGCAGAATACGACACACGATCAGCAACATTGCGTGGCCAATGTCACAAGCCGGCATTTCCACCGTCATCTGCATTCTTCCCATCGTTGTTCCTACAGGTATCTGGATCCGCTAATTCTTCCTTTTTCTGTGGTGGTTTAAATTATTGTGTTCAAACTCTAAGCAAGTCTATGCTTAGTTATTGTAGCAGTATCACTTATTGTCTATTTCAGAACTACATTCCACTGGTGTTTGTGAAGACGATAACACTGGTGGTCATCTGGGGTTTATGGCATGGATTAGTGCTACTGCCTGCCTTCCTTTCTCAGGTACATTTCAACTGTTTCTTACCTTCATGTTCATTTTGTTTTCAAAGGGAGTGATCACAACGGCTGGAGGGCGGTACGGTATTGACGACGTCACTGAATGCCA